TGAACCACATCCCCAGCTCTCTTTGTACTTTGAGACAGGGTCTGAGTTGCTTAGCGCCTCACCATTGCTGAGGCTGGCTTTGAACTCTCAGCCTCCAGAGCCACTGGGATCAGCCACTGGGATCACAGGCATGTGCTACTGCATTTGGCAGCTTGTTTCTAATTTTAAAGATTTGCTGATCAAATTGAGGGCTTCATACATGTTACCTACCTCTTCCACTGAGCTATACCCCCCCATCCTCTCCCAAACTTTTATTTGAAAAGTATGAAATATTTGAAATATTGGGAATTAAACCCAGGAGCACTCTACCACTGAGCTATATCCCCAGCCCCTTATTTATTTATTTACTTATTTAGAGATAGGATCTTGTTGGGTTGCTGAGGTTGTCCTCTAATTTGCAATCTTCCTGCATCAGCCTCCCCAGTTGCTGAGATTCCAGGCCTGTGGCCACCACATCTGGCTTCTCCAAAATTTTGAATGCCTTCCCTCAGCTCCTAGGACCAAAAGCAAGCTCCTTAACAAGGCTGTAAGTGCTAATGATAGTCTGACCTACCCCCTCTTCCACCACTTCCCAGCCCCCTCTCCACCACTCTTCTACCCTGCATTGTGTCTTTGGCTGCCCTGACCTTGTGATTTCTTTTTCGCTTTTTTTTTTTTTAATTTTGGTTCCAGGCATTGAACCCAGGGGTGCTTAACCACTGAGCCATAGCCCCATCCCCATTTTTTTTTTTTTTTTTTTGTATTTTGAGACAGGGTCTCTCTAGGTTGCTTAGGGATTAACTAAGTTGTTGAGGCTGGCTTTGTACTTGCAATCCTCCTGCCTCAGCCTCCCATGCCATAGCTCCCAGCATGACCTTGTGATTTCTTGGTGGCACTGATCTCTGTCCTACAGGGCCTTGGTACGTGCTGTTCCCTGCCTGCAAGGCTTTCTCTGTAAGCTCTTCCATGCCAGCTCCAGCCCACATGTCGAGGAAGGCTCCCAGCCCAGCTGCACACACACATCCCCTAGGGGCGGTTCCTAGCTATAAGCTGATCCATGTGCTTATTTGAGCCGGTTCCCCCACTGTGATCTGAGCCCCAACAGACCGAAGCTATTTTGCACCCTATTACTTTTCCCCTCTAGTACAGCAATAGGCTCAGAAAATAAAAACATAAATATACGCTAAGACGAAATCTCCAAAATCTTACATTCCATAATAATCAGTTTTCAGGTGCTGAATTTCCTAGAAGGGTGTAGAAACATCAGTGTTCACATTTTGTGTTTGTAAGGATGATTTCGGAAATGAGATTTACCAGGACTCTTGGTAAACACTGTCCCCGTTCAAAAGACCCCAGCACGCCCCAGGCCCGGGTTCCATCCCCAGCACCAAAAAGAAAGAAAATAAAAGAAAAGCAACCTAATGTGAGAAGTCAGAGAGGGCCCAGGCGAGGCTCTGAGCTAGAGAACCGCTGACTCGCTTTGGGTCTTCTTTAACCTCTGTCCTCAGGTTCTCAGGGAGGAGAAAGTCAGAGGTGCCCTCCCGGGGCCCAGCTCCCAGGGACACCTGCAGCTGCTTGACCAGTTCTATCAGAGGAGCCTTCACAACACGTTCTGCTCTCTGCAATTGGTCAAGAGGTCCGTGGGTCGTGGGGTTTTTTGTTACTGCGTTTCAAACTCCAAAGCGCAGAGAGGCTTCAAGGAGTCGTCCCCTTCCCGTCCCGGCCCAGCGGCGACAGGGGCAGGGGTCCGGGCTCTGCACGCGGAAATCCGGGGTTGCCACCTACTCCTGCGGTAACGGAAATTCTGAAAACCCACAAGGTCCACCCGCAGTGGGCGAGCCCAGGCCACACGGAGGCCTTTAGGACCAAAGCACTGTGCCCTCAGGGGGCCACTGCCCGCTTGTGAGCCCATGGAGTCTGAAGGCCTTTTCTGGCCTAAGAGGAGGAGCCCGGGGTCCGAGGGGCAACGAGGACCCCAGCAGGGCTTACAGAGGACCTGGGCAGGGGCATCCTCTGCCCTCGGGTCCAGTGGCCGTTTGGCCTCCAGGAGCACCCTAAGGGCGGCTGGGCAAGCGGCCTGGCAACTGCTCCCCACAAAACTAATCAAGGTTATGGGCCAGAAGGAGGCCTCCAGTCAAGGCCGCGGAGGACCAGGGCCGGGAAGGCGCTGCCGGAGCCGGTGGGCCCCAGTGGGACAGCGCCGCCCGCCCGCGCCCAGCCGCGCGCCAGGGCGAGCGTTGGTGACCCCGAGCTGAGCCTGCGGCCCCCCGGAAAGGCAGGAACCAGATACAGGTTGACTGAGCCCCTCTGGGCCCCCGTGGCTCCCTCCCTGGGCACTGGCCGGAGGACGCCCCGGGAGAAGCGGAATGTGTGGGTCAGGACGCTGGCCCCTCGCCGCCGCCTCCGGGCGTGATCTGGCTGGGGGCTGCTTTCCGTTCCATTGCGCATCCTGGTCCCCTTCCCCTCACTCGCCCGTAGCCAACCCCCCACCCCATTAAAGTGCATTTCCTTTGGAGAGTTTCTCAAACTTTGAAATAATCTGCCACCTCGGGTCTGGCCGTGCACTAGTGGGAAACCATTGTGTCAGGGCTGGGACCCAAGAAAAATCGTAAGGGGAGTGCCCGGGTCCTGCCCTAGCGGGGTCCAGGGAGTCCTGAAGGGTGAGTGGCAAAAAGATGGGACAGGATCGTTCCGTTGGAGCAATCTCCAGAGAGAGGCTCTAATGCAGCTTTCTCTGGATCATCTTTTATTGCAATTTTTCTCATCATTAGAAATTCAGAATACATCATTGATTATACAATTTAAAACTTTGCCAAGACATGACATTTCCTTAACCATGATTGGGGGTACAAAAAAATGTAACATTAATTTACATTTTTCCAGGATATGACCTTTAGTTATTTAATTATTAAAAGTACAGAATCATTAATAAAATGCATCACTAATTTACATTTTTCAGATTTTCCCAAGATTTACTATTTTCCCCAAGATATGCTATTTTCTTATCAACTAATGCCAAACTACATAACCAGACTCTAAGTCTTCTATCCTATCATTAACCTTTAAGTTTAAAGTACACCTTTACTTTATTTGTAATCTAAAATTCCCATCTAAAAAAGTCCCCTTAAATCTTATACTTAAAATATCCTAAAGTTTATAAATCATTCTTAAAACATATCAGAAACCCATACAACTAAGAACTTAAGAATTTCTAAACCAAAAATCTAAATAGGATAATATTTGTAACATTAGTCTAAAGATACATCTTATAAAGCTACTTTAATTAATTACTAAATTTATTCCCATAAAACTGGTTGAGCTGCTTTCTCAAAGAGTTTCTTTGTTTCTCAGTCAAGGTGCACTAGTTCTCATATCTTTATAATCTTTATCAATAGAAAGTAAGTTCTAAACATCAGTCCACTTTCCGCCAATATTAACTATGCTCATCATAAATTCCTATGTAAAGTAAAAAGGGTTTATAAAAAGAGAAGAATATATCTTTATATGTTTTAACTTTCCTAAATGTATAATATAACTTTCCTCAATCAAAAATGAAACTACATATGGTGGGCTTTGTAAAATAAGCATAATAATTAGGTTTTCTAAGAGGCCGGAAATATGAGCTTGGGTTCTAGTTGATATAATCAATGTGGTGCCTAAAATTCTCATGACCTTTCAGAGGATGATTGTTGTCCATTATCAGATTTGTCCTCAATGTGCTGAGGTAGAAGAACAGCCTTCTACTTTGTCCTTGATGTGCTGAGGGGTAGTAGAACAGCGTTCAAGGCATGAACTACCTGTTATGTTCTAGCCATTTGAAATTTAATTTGTTTGGCATTTAACGTGCTCATGCCTCCTGTCAGGAACATAAGCATGAAAATGAAAAGTCCCAGTTACATAAAAAAGGGTCTCATGGTTTCGGTTTCCCACCAACCAGCACGGCTTTGCCAGCATTCATCCTCACTGTGACCCTGTCAAGACAGTGAGTGGGGGATCGCCTTCACCAGGGAAGTGCTTTTCCTGTGAACAGGGACATAGGGACACCCCCAACACACACATAGGACATCCTCCTCAGTCTCCACACTGAGCAACCCTGGTCACAACTGCAGAGATTGCAGCAGGTGCCAAGGTCAGGTGGCCAACTCGCAGTGGTCTCCAGTCACTAGTTGAAAGGTGAAGGAGGAGAATGACCAGATTAATTGGATTTGTGCCACAGCAAATAAAACCAAGAGCGAGTCCTGAACAGAAGAAAACCCGCGGGCTTGGTGGGGACTTTGCTCTGGATTTTGGCCACTGGGTCTAGCATGCCCCTTGGCAGCTGAACACGTGCTAAGCACAGGGGCCAGCAGTGGCCTGGCTGTGAGTGGACAGCAAATGGACCCAGCCCAGCTGGGTGACTTACTTTCCCAGACCAGAGGCCAGGATAAAGGTGCAGTTCTTTAGTGCCTTCCCAACCCCGATGAATGCACAGAAAAGAACATCTCTAGGCCACTCATAGGGTCTTACAAAGGAGAATAAGGAACTGTCCCCCAAAAGAGTAACATGACGCTGGGGGTGTGGCTACGTGGTAGAGCACAGGCTTAGCAAGCATGAAGCCCCAGCTTCCATCTCAGCATTAAAAAAAAAAAAAAAAAGTTGTATGATTATTTGAGCAAAAACTGGCTACTGACTAGTAGGACTTGGTTGCAGACTCCTGGCTGGAACTGCTTCTAGAAGCGTCCAGGGACCCCATCTGTGGCCCCCCTATGTATTGCCTGGTGTGGTATAAGTGTGACAATGTTGCTTTCCTTATGTTCCTGACAGAAATAACCCTTCCAGTCACTCACCTCAAGCCTGACTGGTGGAGACTTCCGCTGTGGGGAAGCGCCACAGACTGTCCCCATCAGGACAACACTGAGCCTGCAACCCCAGGGCACCCACTGGCTCAGCCAAATACCCCAGACATGTAACTGAAAAGCGGAAGTGAAAGGCAGGCAGGCCCCTGGGTTCCTGAAAGGGTTATTCTGACTTAGACTAGCTGTAAAAATGCAATTGGCTGGTAGTTGCCACGGCCAAAGTGCATCCGGAGTGTCCTCTCTCTCCATCCAGTGTGTTTGTCACTTGGAGGAGGCAAGCAGCACGTTGTCCCTACAGCGCAGAGATGGAGAGTTCCAATGAAGAGAGGAAGGAAGGGGTAAGTGTGTTGGAGGGGGCCGGAGCCAGGGCCTGCTGCAGGGCCTGCCCAACAGCCCTGGGCAGTCATGGGGGTCCCTAGTATCCTGGAGCCAACTCTGAGACCCTGTGGGGGTACTTGCCCCTCCGCCCACCCAGCTGCTGGACTTTTACAGGGAGTAGAGGTGAGGTTTACAAAGACCCTTTCTGCTGAGCATTCCACTGGAACAGCTGTTTAAAAAGTATCCAGACTACCTTCCAAACTGAAGAGTCTGAAAGGGTTCATTTGCCCATTTCTTCTTCATGGTAAGAATGTGAGATGAAGAGACTTCACAATCAAATGTGTCGGTTACAAAATCCTTAGATGCCGCTGGTGAGCTTTGGTCAAAATTTTGTTTTGAGTTTGGTTTCAGAGAATTTTAGTCTTTTTCAGCAAGTAACATAGCTAACCCGCATGCAAAGAAGATAAACGCCAAAAAGGTATTGCTTGTTTTTTTGTTTGTTTTTAGAGGTGGAGTCTTTGAGTGGCCCTCCACTAAACTCATTACAGCCACTTACTTGCAGATTCCCTTGATTGAGGCAGTGCATAATGAGGGAAAGGTAACATGACTTCAGACACTTTCCTGGAATCTGCGTCTTATTGATCACAATGGCATTTTCTTGTGGTGGAGAGGGGAAGGGTAGTGTGCATTTGTGCAGAACGGCGTTATTCTGGCATGGATGGAGACATGCTCGTCACAGGCCGGTTGGAAACCTGCTCTGTAGCATGTGGAGTAAGAGTGGTTCTGGGAGATGGAAGCACCTGTTACTCTTTCCTGCTCCATCCTGTTACCCCCACAGGACCTGGCAAGTTAGTTAACTCTTCTCTGCCTTAGTTTTCTCATCTATAAAATGGCAATCATAGCCTGGACAAGTGGTGTACACCTGTAACCCCAGCCACTCAGAGCAGGAGGATCTCAAGTGCAAGGCCAGCCTCAGCAACTTGGAGAGACTCTGCCTCAAAAAAAAAAAAAGGACTGGGGATGTGGCTCAGTGGTAAAGCACCCCTGGGTTCCATCCCTAGTGCCTAAATAAATGAACAGGAATAACAAGCACTCCGTGTCATGGGTCCTGGAGTAATTAAATGGAATAATGCACGTCAAGCCCCTGGCACAGTGAATTCTCCTATAAGGTTTTTACTTCCGTGATCCTTTAGAGCGGGTTAATCTCAGCTCTGTTGACATTTGGTACTAGATAATTCTGTGTTGCTGACACAGAATTGCAGGGTGTTTAGAAGCATCCCTCTCCCTGACTCACCAGATGCCGGTAGCACCTTCTCCCAGGTGGGACAAGCAAATGTCCTCTAGAGGCAGAAGCAATCCCTGCCCCCCAGCTGCCAATCACAGCTTTACTGCACGCCCGCATGCCCACTTGCCCGCACGGGGGTTTTCTTGTTTGGATTTCACAGTTAGAAAGTGTTGGGCAAATCGAGTGTCGTGGCCTCTATTGGCTGGAATAGGAACGGAGGTAAAGAGGGCATGGCCAGAGGAGGGCCTGGTTTGCTGTCCGCCAGTCAAAGAGAAATGCAAGGGATGGAACCGCACCTCCCCATGGCGCACCCTGAAAATGAGCAGCACTTTGTCAAAGGAAACGATTCCAATGGCCTCATGCAAAGGGCATGACCAGTCATGGCCTCTCGTCCTCTGAGGGAGAAGACTCCTTCGGGCCAGGCACAGGGTCAAGAGGGGACTTAGGAGCAGTGGGGGAGGCTCTGTGGTCTGAGCAGAAGGTGCCAGGCAGTGCGTCAGGCCCGGCTCTGTGGCCCTCTGTGGCTCTCTGTGACTCTCTGTGGTCCTCTGTGACTCTCTGTGGCCACGTGGCTGTAACCTCGCTGGCCTTTGCTTTCCCCATACATAAAGGAAAAAGACCAGTATCTGTCCAGCGTGCAGGAACTTTCTTCCAGGAAAGGAACAACCTGAAAGAAAATAATGGAATGGTTTAGAAAAAAAGACAGCAAAGCATTTTACAACTAATCAAGAATTGTTGAATGAAATCCCCCCACAAAAGTACTTCAGGACTATGAAAGTATTTATTTCATGGAGTGTCTGCACCACCAACTAGTGTAGTATCCTGAGCAAGTGACTTCCCCTCTGTATGCTATGGGTTCTCGTTGTTGATTTGCATTGATCCATTAATTAATTAATTAATTAGCCCACCCACTTAGGCAGACCAGGTGTGGCTGGGAGGCTATTTGGCCAGGGCACCCTGCCCAGTGTCCTGAGAGTCACACCCTGGCAGAGGTCAGCCCTGAAGCTGGTTGTTTCACTAAAATCTGAAGATGGTCTCCTCATCATGGAAACCAGGGCAAGATTCCTCCCCAAAAGTGTGGCAAGAAGAGCCCCCTTCCTGTGTCTGGAGGGCACCGGGGCCAATGTCATCTCTGACTCTTCATCTTCCTCATGTCCTAATGCAGCTCAGCACCAGATCTCCCCCTGCCCCTGCCCACTCCTGGAAAGAAAGGAAAGAGAGAGAGAGAGAGAGAGAGAGAGAGAGAGAGCTCAAGCAAAAGAGTGCTTATGCCCTCTTTTATGTAGTTTAAAAATACACTACCTTCATTGAGACTAACTCACATGCCATATAATTTCAGCCATTTAAAGTGTACATCTTTCACCCTTAAAAAGGGGGAATCCTAGTGGGGCACAGTGGCATGCAGCTGTAATCCCAGCAAAGTCTCAGGCAGGAGGATTGCAAGTTCAAGGCCAGCCTCAGCAACTTATTGAGGCCCTAAGCAACTTAGCAAGACCTTGTCTCAGAAGGACTGAGGGTGTAGCTCAGTGGTAAAAGCTCCTGGGTTCAATCCTCAGTACAAAAAAAAAAAAAAGAAAGAATCCTGTGTTTTTGCTACCAGCCTGGAGCCAAGGGACACTTTGCTGAGTGAAATAAGCCTGGTGCTGAAAAACACGTCCCCTGTGGTGTCACCCATGTGAAAAAGCCAAACACACAGAAGCAGAATAGAACAGTGGTTGCCAGGAGCTGGGGAGAGAGTAATGGGTGAAGTTGTCACGGATACAGAGATTGAGTTCTCCAGGGATGTGGTGATGGGGGGGGGGGGCTGGAGCTAATAATGCTTCCCTGTAAACTTGAGATTCGGTAAAAGAGTGGACCTTGACGGTCCTCACCATGCACATACCAGAGACAGCCACGTGAGGCCATGTGTGTAGCCTGATTGTGGTGTCCCTCCACGTGCACTGTGTCGGAACGCCACGCAGCGCAGCTTGAAGGAGATGCCACTCGGCCCCGGAGGAGCTCATGTGCTGATAAGTTGAAAATATCCTAAGTTCCTGCTGAATTTCTGTAGCTTTCACGTGAAGCTGACGCTGCAGGTCAAGGACTGTCTGTATATACAACCTTTATTTGTTATTCTTTGCTCAGTAAAGCTGGGAAAGAATTCAATATGAACTCAGAGTATACCCAGAGTTATGCGGCCGTCGCCACAATCGATCTCGGACACTCCCATCACCCCTGAGAGATCCCTGGGGCCCCCCAGCTTGCTGGGCCCCCGGCAGCCACTCTTCTACTTTCTGTCTCTCAGATTTAGAGTCAGAATCAGGTGATGGTTGTGACTGGCTCCTTGTGCCTCCCTTGTAGAGCGTCAGTACTTCCTTTCTGCAGGGCTGAGTCACGTCCCGGGGAGTGTGCACACCATGTTGGTCCATCCATCCGTCACTGGTCCTTGGTTCGTTTCCACTGGGCAGTGGCAGTGCTGCTATGAAGGCTGCGTTGGAATGTTGGTGTGGACCCTGCGGCTTCTCTTGAGTTGCCTCCTAGGAGGGCAATTGCTGGGTCACGTGGTCACTGAATGTGGGAGGACCCGCCCACCTTTGCCTTTTCCTGATGGCATCCCCAGGCTTAGATCTGACTCCCCAAGGCCCTGAGAGCTGCAGCGAGCTGCACGTCTCCAGCCCTCTGTCTGCCTCCCACTTCTGCTCTGCACCAGCTGCTGGAGTGTCCGCTAGAAGTCCGTGTCTTTGTGCCCCTCCTGTGCAGAGCAGTGAAGGCCTAAGCCATGGCCCTGGCCCCCACCCATCCCAGCCCCAGGCTCAAGAGCCCTATTCCAGGTGCAAGGTCCCAGCTCCCCTTTTTTGGTGGTGCTGGGGATTGAACCCAGGGCCCTGTGCGTGCGAGGCAAGCACTCTACCAACTGAGCTGTATCCCCAGCCCCCAAGCTCCCCTTCTCTAGACCCCTCTTTTTAATCACTACTGTGATTTTTCCTCTTGATACTTATTGCATTTATAGTTTAATTATTACACCATGTGGGATTTTTTTTTTTTTTGATGTCTGTCTTTCCCATTGAACAATTTGGGGGAGGAAGTGGGGCGGTGGTATTGGAGATTGAACCCAGGGTGCTTTAACCACTGAGCCACATCCCTGGCCCTTTTTATTTTTTATTTTGACAGGATCTCTCTAAGTTGCTTAGGGCCTTACTAAGTTGCTGAGGCTGGCCCTGAACTCGAAAATCCTCCTGCCTCAGCCTCCCAGGTCCCTGGGATTACAGGCATGTATCACCAGCCAGGCGTGAACAGTGATCTTGAGGGCAGCTGTTTTGCTCTCCAGGGCAAAGAAAGGTGGTTGGGCCAGCTCAGTGAGACCCCCAGAGTGCCTGGCATTCCACAGGGTGAGTCTCCATTCCTGCAGGGTCTGTATAATGTGCCTGTGGCTTGAACTCAAGGAGGAAGCCAAAGACTAAAGGTCGCATCGTGTGCTCTGCGCATAAAGGCTGTAGCCTAAGGTCTCTGGTCTTCTTTGCTGGGATCCCTTCAAAGCAGCCGGGAGCTGGCCATCCATGGCGCCTGGCAGAATCCCCCATTCTGGGGTATGAGCCCCTGGGGACCAGCCAGCTCCCAGCTGAGCTGTGCTTGGTCATCACAGTACCAACCACACTCCCATCCATGACCCAGAAGACTTCAAACCTCAGGCCCTCAGGTGGAGAGTGCCACCTGCCTGCGCGAATGACTCTGGTGCTTTTATAGGTAACCCTCTTACTGGGAAGAGGGAAGAGAACTGTTAAGCCAATGTTTTCTTCCTTTTCTCCCTCATCCCTTTCAAACAAAATAGAAGAGCTGTGGGCAGGAGTTTTTGTTTGCTTTCTTCACCACGGTATCCCAGCACTAGGACATGCCCGGCTCAACATGTTGAGGGAATGAAGAACGAGCGAGCGAGAGTGACTGAGGGCCCAGAAGCAGCCAGCTGGGAGTGAGCCGGTCTGCGAGCCCTGCATGTGTGGACGCCTGGGGATCCCTGAAGCCTGGGCGCTGTCCCCTGCCCTCCACCTCTGGGGGCACTTTGACAGCTGCCTCTTGGGAAGCTCTTATCTTCCTTACCAGAAGCATCCTGGGGGTTAGCCATTTGCTAATTCATTGATGGGTTAATGAATAGTTAATCAGTCGGCCATGTGTTAATTCACTTGGTGGAAGGAGAAGCGTGTGTCGGCCACCTGGGAAGGGTGAAGTTCACGACTCTTCTGTTTCTTTAACAGCTCTCTTGAGGTTTCGTTGGCATGGTCAGTGTGTGCGGGGTCAGCTTGATGTTTTGACACACTGTGCATTCTGTAAGGTCACTACCGCCAGCTGATGGCCTGTCCGTGGCCTCCACGTAGCTCCCCGTGTGGGCACGGAGTGGTTTTGCTCTTGACCAGGGCCCTTGCAGGCCAGGTTAACCCCTTCCTCTCTGAGCACCACCACGCAGGCTCTCTTCTCTCATGTCGGCCTCCCCACTTCCCTCTCCCCTTCAGGTACAGCAGGGGACTGCCCAGCAAAGACCTGGGCTGGCCCCGGGAGAGGGGCGGTCGCAGAGGTCAAGCATGAACACAGTCCCCTGTGACGGGGGACATCTACGGGAGATTCAGACAGACAGCCCGGGCTCACCCAGCCGCAGGTTCCGCTCTTAGCCTTGGCAGAGACACCATGGGGGAGCGTCGTGGTCCTTGCTGCAGAGAGGAGACGGAAGGAGCGTGGGGATTAAGCTAGAAAGCGACCCTGAGAAAATTCAAAATGACTCCTGTAGGTTCCAAGAGCAAAGCTCTTCCCACATCTGTCTGTCTCCCTGTTTCATTCCTCTAGAAATGTGTTCCCAGGCCGGGATGCACCTCAGAGGGCCTGGCATGCGTAAGGCCCAGGGTTCCATGGCCACCCGGCGAGAAAAAAAGTGTCCCCTCCTGTCATTCTGGATGGTCTGAAAGGAGCTTTGAGTTTCTTCCTGGGTCGAAGGGGGCTATTTTCCCAGAGCACTGTGTTGAAGAGTCCCCAGAAATGTACAAGCAGCGTCTCACTGTGGCACCCCTTTGTTAAGAGCGGAAGCCCAGGGACTCGGGGGTCAGTGGTACCAGATAAAATGCTCACGTTTATCTCTCTGGTTGGGAGCCTGTGCCTTAGGGCTTGAGCACGTCCACTGTCAGGAGTGTCACAGGAGCAATCCCAGGGGCCGGTGAGTGTTGGTCTGCTTCTCTCTGACCTGGGGGCTCTCAGGGGGCGCTCCCCCAGCCCAGGGGCATGCAGAGAACCTACAGACACCTGGGCCCTCACACCTAGAGAAGGGGTGCGACTGGCACCTGAGGAGCAGAAAACAGGGAGGCTGGAGACATCCACGGTGCCCAGGACAGTCCCCTGTAACAAAGAGCCATCGGACCCTGCAGGTCCCAACTGTCACCATCGAGAAAGCCAGTCCTCACCCTCGGCCAGCAGCGCAGGCAGCAGGTTTGAGGGTATGGAGTAGCCCAGAGGCCACACGGCACGTCTCTGGAGGCCGGCGAGGCAGGAGGTCCCGCGGCCCCTGCTGCTCCCTGACCCCCCATCTCTCTTGCAGAGGCTCACGCTCCTGCTTGCCCTGGCCACCCTGATCGCCTCCTTCGGCTCCTCCTTCCAATATGGGTACAACGTGGCCGTGGTCAACTCCCCGTCAGAGGTGAGGTCACAGGGGCGAGGGAGACACACGTCTGAATGAACAGGCAGGGGCTTTGGAAGCTCCTGTGGCCTCCCGGGAACACACACGGGGGTCCCTGAGGAAGGGAGAGGGGAGGGCCCTTGGGGAGCAGGCTGGCACGGGTCGGGGAGCTGACCGGTGTCCAGACCTCAGCTTGCTAAGGGACACAGTGGGCTGGGCCCCGCTGGGCTCTGATCTTGGGTGGCCTGGAGTGAGTGGAGGGGCCTGGCGTGGGCAGCAGCTGCCCCCAGGGAAAGCCTGGAGCCGCCCTGGGCAGTTCACGCACTGGAGGCTTTCCTGGGAGGGCCCCAGGGGACCTTGCTGCTCCTGGGGCTTTGTCCCGGCCCCCTGGCCCCACCTGGTGATGCTGCAGTCTGCTGCCGGGGTGTCCCGTCGGGTGGTGTGACGGCCGGGGTTACCACTGCTGTTCTGGGCTCTTGTTTCCAGTTCATGAAGCAGTTTTACAACGACACCTACAGTGACAGAACTGGAGAGCTCATTGACACCTTCGCTTTGACCTTGCTGTGGTCTGTGACAGTGTCCATGTTCCCCTTCGGAGGCTTTATCGGGTCCCTCCTGGTTGGCCCCCTGGTGAATAATTTGGGCAGGTAAGAGAAGGAGGATTTTTAATTCCCCCCAATTCATAGACCCCTCCATTAGGGTTTTGTTGTTGTTTGGTACTGGAAATTGCACCCAGGGGCGCATTACCACAGAGCCACATCCCCAGCCCTTTTTATTTTATTTTGAGACAGGATCTTGCTAAGTTGCTAAGGCTGGCCTCAAACTTGTGATCCTCCTGCCTCAGCCTCCTGCGTCACTGGGATTACAGGCGTGTGCCACCACACCCAGCTACCCATCATCAGTTTTTAAACATGGGCCTAAAAGTAAAATCTTTATCATGAGATGAGGTCATAACCACTATGATAATTTTCATTTTCTATTCTGGTCATAAGGAGGAGACCAGACATTGGCAAAGTGTTTGGGGTCTCGGCAAGGTCACAGTGGCTGGGACTCCCGGGCACATGGAAAGAGCAGCGGGTGCCATCACAGGTCTGGGACTCACACGGCTCTTGCCGCTCTTTTGCCTTGGAGGTATTTTCTCACCAAAAACCAAAACTAATTCTTTCCCTGGCATTTTTGCCAACAGAAGATCCAGACGCTGCAACAGCACGGCCAAGGTGTCGGTCACGGCGAGGTCCTGACCTAGTGTTCTTAAACTCTGGTCATAAACTAACACAAAGGCCTTTCCTGTCTGCTGCTTTTGCCTTGGGACAAGGCAGTGTGCCAAGTCCAGCCCACACTGACTCCCGTGCATCTCTGGCATAGCTCAGATCCATGCCAGGAGCCTCAATGTGGGACAGCGCAGCCTGAGGTCATCTCTCCCACTGTGACACAGCATTGTGACCACCAGGGTCAGGGTTGATCCTTGGCCCTATTTCCAGAAATATTAAAAAATTTGTATATTTCATCGTAAAAAAAAAAAGTCTTTAGAAACATCCACTCGCTCACCTCAAGTCCATGCATGTTAGGGAGCGACCGGTTTATAAACAGAACTTGAGAGGGAGACGTCTCACCTGCCACATCCCAGATAAGGAGCACAGGGAGGCTGGGGGAGGTCGCAGATCTAGTTAGCTCAAGAGTCAAGACCAGCACTGGAGGGGCAGCTCAGTGGTGGAGCCCTTGTCTAGCATGCCCGAGGCCCTGGTCTTGATCTTTGGCACCACAAAAGACAAAAAAGGTCAAGACCAGAGCACAGACCAAGGTTCCTTCTTCAGTTTTTAAAAGGGTCTGAGAATAAAAATACACAAGCTCTGTTTTGGGATCTGAGATCCTAAGGTCTTCCTGGAAGGACGGTACTGACCCCAGTTTTCCCTGTGGATCCCCATGGGACACAGCGCCCTCCAGGTCAGAGCCAGGTCTGCAGGACGCTTCTCAAGTGAAGGACTTGCCCTTGGGTGGCCTTGGAAGTTGCTGATGGAGCTGTCTACTTGGGAATGTGACCAAAGCTGCTCAGTTGTTTGAAGTTTTCTTAAGTATTTGCATTTATTATTATCATTTTGGAGTGTATTCTACTTACAGAGAAAAGATGTGCTGTAAAGCTGTGAAACAGCATGGTCTCCTGCCCGAGGCGTGGAGGGACTGACCACACCTACAGGGCTGTGAAGGGTGGGTCACCTGAGGACTGACACACAGCTGTACTGTTAGCTGAGCGACACACAGCTGTACTCTTACTTTGCACGTGGGAAAAATGAGGCACAGAGAGATGCTGTGACTTACCCACGATGATACAGGGGGCAGGTGCTCAGGATTCCAACCCAGGAAATTCCTCCTATTAATGGGGTTTTCCTTCGTTGAGCTGTTCTTGTTTGGTTTTTGGTGCAGTCAGGCATGCGAGGCCAGCGCTCTGCCGGAGCTCTAAGGGTTCTTCATATATTTTACATAAGGTCCTTTATCAAATAGGTCTTTTGCAAACACTTTCTCCCAGTCTGTGACTTGTCTTTTCATTGTCATGACGGGTCTTTCGCAGAGCAGAAATTTTTTATCTTAACGAATGCCATCTTATCAATTCTTTCAATAAAACTGACTTTTATTATGGTTTATTGTTGTTATAAAATTCTCTGGAGGGGGCTGGGGCTGTGGCTCAGTGGCAGAGCGCTTGCCTCACACATGTGACGCATTGGGCTCGATCCTCAGCACCACATAAAAGTAAACAGGCATACTGTCCTTCTACAGCTACCAAAAAACACCCGCTCTGGAGCCTGCGCCCTAACTGTTTGCAAGGCCCACTTCCCTCTTTTTTTTTTTTTTGAGTGTCAGTCTTGCAAGTTGACAAGGCTGACCTCTACCTCCAAGGCTCAAGCAATCTTCTTGCCTCGGCCTCGTATTGCTGGGACTGCAGGTGTGTGCCACCTGCCCGGCCTGTCTCCCTCCTTGATGTGCCACTGGTTTGGGTCTTCAGCATGTTCCCCTTATTCTGAAAGGTTGTATTAAAAACACTGAGTTGGCGTGGTGGCACATGCCTATAATCCCAGTGGCTTGGGAGGCTGAGGCAGGAGGACTCAGAAGCACTCTGTCTCAAAATAAAATACAAAAAAGTGTTGAAAAAACCGTTCAAATTGAACTCGTAGGCTTATCTATTTGTCCTTGAAGTTAGGGTCACTTCAGTTGATGCTGTATATATATAAATACACAGAGTAGACTATACTAGCCATAAATGTTTATTGTAGCCCTGGGGATAGGACTAGGGGCCTCAGGCATGCTAGGCAGGCACGTGCCACCCAGCTGCAGCCCAGTGCAGGGCCACATGTATTTTGGGGCTGCGTTGAGGGTTCTGTAGACATGCTGGTTCTAGCTTTGCCGTTCTTTTGGTTTTTGGTTTTGTTTTTGGCACTAACGATTAAACTCAGGGGTGCTTAACCACTGAGACGCATCCCCAGCCCTTTTATTTTTTTATTTTGAGGCAGGGTCTTGCTGCATTGCTGAGGGCCTCACTAAGTTGCTGAGGCTGGCCTCCACTTGGGGTCCTCCTGCCGGGATCACAGCGTGCACCACTGCGCCCAGCTGCCATTCTGTCTTCTACGGCTTTACAAGTCTCCTCTCTGTGCTTTATATTTTTACATCAAATTATATTTTGTCAGCTCTCAGTTTGTCGCCCAACTTCCCTTTTTGTCTCTATTGGTCTTTTGATCGCTTTCTTAACCTTACATTTTCAAACTTTTTATTTTCCCATGTTAATTTACCGGTTCTTCCTTTCCCGGGCTGTGCCTTTGGTGTTGTGTCTGAAAGGTCACGGCCAGTGGTCACTTTGTAGCACCTGTGCTAAACAGTCATTGCCAAACCCAGGGTCATCTAGGCGCCCCCACACACACACCATCTTCTAGGAACGTTCTGGTTTTGCGTGGAACCCTGAGGTCTAGGGCAGGTCCACAGTCCACTTCAGGTTAATGTCCCTGAAGGGCGTATCCACGTCTAGGCTGACGCTGCCTGTGGAGGTCCAGCTGTTCAGTGGCGTTCTAGAAGTCTCCCTCTACCCCACCAAGACTGAGGTTGGTGAGTGTCCTCCACTGAAGGGCCGGTTTGATTCCTCGTGTTGTGACCCCCGTCACTTAACGTGGTTTATCCTCCCTGGGAATTCTGTCATCTGAACCTGCACTGTCTGCCACACGCGTCTTTTTTTCTTTTTCTTTTTTTCAATTATCTATTAAGGGCTGGGGATGGGGAAGTGTGTGTGTGAGGGAGGGAGGGAAGGAGGAGGCGGGGACCACCATGCAGCCTCCTGAGGGACAGGTCCCTGTCTCCCGGTGCCATCCTGAGGCCCCTCCACAGGGGCCTTTGCTTCAGTCAGAATCTCAGGGCCCACGTCCACCTGCGGTTCAGGCTCTTCCTCGCTCACATGGGAATGCTTTCGAGGTTCTATTAAGTGTGATGCTTGTTATGGTTTTTTGTTGACGCCCTTTATCAGCCTAAAGAAGTTTCTCTATAGTTACTTAAGGCTGGATTGGTCTTTGTTTGTTTTTGGGTTTTGGTTTTTGGTTGTTGGTCTTTTTCTGTTGTTTATTTTTTGTTACTGTTGTTGTTTTCTGTTCTTTGTTTTTTCATCATAAAGGGCTATGTGGGGCTCTGTGGGACACAAGAGGGTCACAGGTTCAAGGTCAGACTCAGCAATTTAGGGAAACTTTGCTTCGAAAATTTTTAAAAAGTATTGGGAGTGTAGCTCAGTGGTGGTGTCCTCATGTTCATCCCCAGTACCAAATTTTTTTAAAAAATCATAATGGCATTTCATTTTATTGATTTCTTTTGACACTTCTAGGAGATAATCCTACATTTTCCCCAGTACCATCTTTAATACAGTGAATATATTGAAGAATTTTATCCATGCCGTTGAACCTGCTAATATTTCATCTAGGATTTTTGCATCTACGTGGACTTCAGTGAAGTTGGCCTATGCTTTTATTTGTTTCTAATGTCCTTACTCAGTTTGGTTTGGGAGGTTACATTAAAACCACAAATTAGCTTATGATTTCAAAAGCCATGTCCTGTATTTTAATTTTGGGGCCCCTTCCCCCCTATTCTCGCTACTGACGCCCTCTGCCCTTTGCTCCCACATCAGGCTGTGCACTTGACCTCTGTCAGTCTCAGGTCCCAGGAGCCTGAGGCCCAGCAGGGAGGCTCATTGCTGCACTTGGCGGAGCCCCCGAGGGCAAACACCAGGAGCTCTTGTGTACAAATTCGAAGCCTGGGCTGCCCTAGCTGCTGTTTTACCTTCTGCAGGAAAGGAACCTTGCTGTTCAACAACATCTTTTCCATTGTGCCCGCCATCTTCATGGGTTGCAGTAGAATCGCCAAGGCCTTTGAGCTTATCATTATTTCCAGATTTTTAGTGGGAATATGTGCAGGTAAGGATGCCACACTGACTGGCCATTCTGTTATTCAGGGTCATCAGTCAGGGATGGGGGCGGCAGGGGGCCTGCAGGGAGGGACCCGTCTCCAGGGACCTGAACAAGCCCAGGGTCTCTGGAGCACATAGATTCAAGTGACCCTGCACCTGCGATGTGAAACAGACCTGAGCAGCCTCTGTGCTGCCCTCGGGGCAGACACTGGGCGGACCTCTGCGATGGAAGCCGTCTCTGGTTTTGTTTGGCCGTGCTGGGGTTTGAACCCAGGGCCTCACACCTGCTAGGCTGGCACTCTCCCACCCAGGAAGCTGTGCTCTGCAAGACTGAAATACAGAATCTCTAGAAGGTCCTTCCAATTGATCCTTTATCTCAGTGTCTCAGCAGGTCAGGGCCAGTTAGCGGGTGGTGACATCTGTTTAGTGGGCAGCCTTGGTTTTGGTGTTGGTTTTTATTTTTTTATCAGATTTTGTCATATGTGGTGAGAATACAATCATCTCTTGAAACGTTTGTTTCTCTTATTTATTTGCATATTTATGGGAGAACGGGTTGCAGGGTACAGTGTATTTCTGGGGGTTTGGTGTGGTTTGGTTTGGCTGTGAGTTACTCTTGAAGCTTGAGAAGCCATCTGATGCCTGAATCCCTCTACCAGAAACACGGTAAGCAGAAGAGCCTTGCAACTTTCATAGGGCAGTCTGCAGTGGCCAGAGGCCTTTCCTGGGTGCTCTTTCACCTTTTCCCACATGTGCACCCGCTGAGTGATCTGAGGCCTCTCCCCTAACAACTGTGGTGCTGCTTGGCAAAGCCCACCTCCTACCTGTCCACTGAGGCTGCCGCCAAGAGACCTCCCCAGGTCAGCATTGTCAACAGGCAGCAATTCCCAAGGCCAGACCAGGGGAGGGCCCAGGGCATAGAGTCCTACAGGTGCAGGATGGGCATCTCCTGAAATCTGTCCCTGGGGCATCTCAGTGCTTCCTTCTGGTCATAGTCCCAGCATGGCCAGTGAACTTGGCTTTTCTTCTTTCACATGTGGAATCAGGGACAGAGTAATGGTTTGGCCGGTTGTCGGATAGAGCCCAGTGACAGAGCAGAGACGTCACGAAGACTGGTGTTGGGGGGAAATGACAGAGAATCACAGGCAGGGGAGAAGAGGACGGGGACAGGTTTCCTGAATGGAGAAGTCCCTGCCATGGAGCCTCGCTGGCTCATCGGTTTTACCTGCCAGGTGCAGCTTTCAAAAAAACAGAGGATTCCTGGGGTTGAGGCTCAGCAGTAGAGCGCTCACCTAGCACGTGTGAGGCCCTGGGTTCGATCCTCAGCACCACATAAAAATAAAATAAAGATATTGTGTCCATCTACAACTAATAAAATAAAATAGAGGATTCCTAAACGTTGTCAGGAGTGAGCAGGTCCAGTTTCTTCTCCTCTAATCACAGACAATTCAGAATTGACTCTGAGAGAAATACACAACAGGCTCCAATAGAAAGTAAATCACAATTAAAACCCCCGACCTTTACTCTTAAGTATTATTTCAGGTCAATGTTTCACAAACTATTGGTCTCAGGATTTTTTTGCATCTTAAAATTATAAAGGACTCCACATTAAACATCACAACCAAACCACGTGGTGGTGCATGTCTGTAACTCTAGCTCCCTGGGAGACCAAGGCGGTTGGATCGCAAATTCAAGGTCAGCCTGGGAGACCCTGTCTTAAAATAATTTTTTTGTTTTTCAAGAAAAGGGGTTGGGGATGTAGCTCCTTGGTAGAGTGCTTATCTATCATGCCTCAGGTCCCAGGTCCAAACCCCAGCACGTCCCCCACCCAGACTGCAACCAAGAAGTGCAATCATTCATTTTCAAACATAATAGGCCCATTACATATTTTAGTTAGAAACAATTTTATGTTTTAATACCAAAAATAAGTGGCCTTGTTGGACATTTTTGTAAATCTCTTAATGCGTGGCTTACTAAGAAGACCCCTGGGTTCTCAAGCCTGCCTGTGTCGAGTTGGTAGCTTCTGGGAAACTCCACGCTATGCTCCCAGGGGAATGGGAGTGAAAGGGGAAGCCAGTCTCACAGCCTCCCACGGAGGTCTCAGGAACCCCGACCTCAGTCCAACTTGGAGGACACCAGCAGGTGCAAGAGGCCTTTCACCAGGCTCCTGAAAGTCCATGAGACGCCTGTCCAGCTGCATGCCACGTCCACACCCCACTGACGTGAAAATGAAGCCACTGAGAGATGAAGTGCCCAGTCCCGTCCAGGGAGGCGCCAAGGCACCAGATGGGACTGCAGGGGCTCACTGTCCACTCGGTTGCTGCTCGTCCCCATCTTGGCAAGAGAGCCCAAGGCTGGCTCCGAGGGGTTTACTCCTTGAAAGCCACAAGGCTTCTGAAAGCCATCGGTGCTGCTGGCGGGGCTAACCCAGTGCCGTCCCTTCACAGGTCTTCTGGGGTTGGGCTGTCCTTCCCTCCTTCCTTCCTTCCTTCCTTCCTTCCTTCCTTCCTTCCTTTCTTTCTTGTACTGGGGATTGAACCCAGGGCTTCTTTCCCACTAAACCACATCCCCAGCCCACCCACTCCCCCGCCCCTTTATTTAAAAATTTATTTGAGACAGTGTCTCACTGAGTCACTTAGGGCCTCACCAATTTGCTGAGGCTGACCCTGAACTTGCCATCCTCCTGCCTTGGCCTCCCGAATTACTGGGATTACAGGTATGCTCCTGGATTTTTATATCTTAATGAAGCTGAGAAGTGCTTGCCATTAAAAAGCAGCCTCGAGGGCCCACTGGGTGCTAAGTGGCAAGAACCGAGCTGGCATCTGGGGCCTTCCCTTGCAGGCCTGTGTGCACTGAGCCTGGGGGTGCTGTCCCCACCCACGGCATGCTGAGGGCTGCTTTAAAGATGCCCCTCTTTGCTCTGATAACAGGAAAGAGTTTTCATGAGCTGTCTCTTTTGAAACATAAAGCAGAGATGTCCTTGGGCAGAATTTCAAAGGAAGACGACTTTGGTACCTTCCTATTCAGTGTTACCAAATAAACTCCTGTCACCAGAAGTTCTCCCCTCCCCTCACCCCAAACTGTTCCCTCAGGGTCTGCCTGTGTGACAGAGTCTCCCTGTAACCCCAGGATGATCCTAAGCCTCAGCTTGGCCCAGGACACCTGGACTTGTAACAGCCCCTCCGGGCTTCCTGAGGCCCCCAGCTCTCGATGTGCTTCTGGGGGATTAAATGAGATGCTGTATGTGGGGTACTTCAGACTCCACAGAATTCAGTCCTTCCTGTGGGTTTTGTTTGTTTGTTTGTTTGTTTGTTTTGGTAGTTGTAGATGGACAGAATGCCTTTATTTTATTTATTTATTTTTTATGTGGTGCTGAGGATCAAACCTACAGCTAGGCAAGCGCTCTGCTGCTGAGCCCCAGCCCCAGCCCCTCGACCTTTCTTAAGGAGGTCACACTCCAGGATGACGGAAGACTCTAGTGGGGATTCGGAAGTAGTCCAGGCCTTGCAGAAATCCCAGAAATGCAGAGGTCCCCAAATAGACTGACATTTTTGATGTTTGCTGGTAAATGTGACTGGTGCTCTCCTGTGTTGACCATTGGCTTTTGCTGTGATCTATACTCTCCCCTGAAGGTGAAGCTGGAGAGCAGGGGTCCCTCCAGGACAGGGGTCTACCCAGGGCAGCTGGGAGGGGAGACCCTAGGTCTGGACAACCTGTGCCCCTAGGTGACCCCTGTTGAGCGGCAAGTGCTCCTGCGCAGGAGCTTCTCTGGCCTGATTTAGAGTTTAAGAGGCTAAGCATGAAAAGAGGTGTTCGCTTTCTCTGTGGCCATTCTGAGGAAGTTCCAGGCCGAGCATCTGGTGGCTGAGTAACAATAGCTCTGCAGACTCCGCCCACCCGGCTGGACAACTGCTCCTGACTGCGTTTTTGCTCCAACCCTCCTCCCAGGTGTGTCTTCCAACGTGGTCCCTATGTACTTAGGGGAGCTGGCCTCTAAAAACCTGCGGGGGGCCCTCGGGGTGGTGCCCCAGCTCTTCATCACTATCGGCATCCTTGTAGCCCAGCTGTTTGGTCTTCGGAATGTCCTCGCCAACGAAGAAGGTGAGCGGGGACCCTGCCCCTCCCCCAACGCCTCCCCTGCCGCGGGTGCCTGCTCAGGAAGCGTCTGCAGGCTGGCCTTTTCTCTCTGGACCCTCCGCTACCCTGAGTCCACATTGCTGGTGTGCTGTTTGTCCCTCTGCAGCCCCTGAACAAGTGCTGGTGACAGCTTCCCCTTAGGAGATGGGCAAGGTGGAACAGGAAGGCCAGCTGCTCTTGGCCTGCTCAGAGGCTGTCCATATGGTGGCCAGTGGCCCCACAGTGGCAGCCAGCAGTGTGCCCAGAGCTGGTATTGCTTTCACACCACCCCGCTTTCTTTGTCTTGGGTCTGGAACTTCTGAAAGGAAAACCAGCTTTAATCATCACACCAGTCGAAACAGAGTGCTGGGGGCCAGGAGCCAAGTCTTCCAGAGTACCCCATACCTTCCTCCAGACAGCCCCGCGCAAGCATGTGCTGTGGTTATACCCATCTTACAGATGTAGAACCCGAGGCTCACAGAGACTGGAAAACTTGCCCAAGGCCTCTGGGGATATAGAGCCAGGAGTCTGTGTTAACCGCCACACCCTCCTGCCTTCCCATCACTCCTACAGTCAGGGCTCCTATGTTGAGGTGCCACACCTTCCTTAGGAACTGAGACCCAACTTGAATGCACCAGGTTCCTGTCCCCAGGAGCTCCCAAACAGCGGGACTTGGAGCAATGTGCAGAGCTCTGTCCTGCGCAGGAAGGAGGGATTGCTTCTGCCCAGGAAGAGGGGCTTCAGAGACAGCCTGGACTAGGGGTCAGTAGGACAGTGTTCCAGACCTGGGCAGAAGAGACAGGAGTACAAAATTCTTGTGTCTTTGGTGAACTGCAAATACTGAGGGGCACGTTGTGCTCCCAGTTCTTACTTTGACTTTCCTGCAGCCTGGGTGTACAGAGGGCAGTGCTTGGCCTTGCCCATCTTAGAATTTCCAGCATGGTTCCTGGCACATAACAGGTACTCAAAAAACAGGGAAGGCCAGGAGACAACAGAGTCAGAGAAGACGCTAGAAGATGCACAGGAAGAGGGCAGGCCCAGTGTCCAAGGCTGCGAAGAAGTCAAGGGAGGGCAAGATAGACAAACAGAATCTGGATCTGTACTTGGGGGAGCTTCAGCAACTTAGGAGTTTGTGGGGCCCGGGGATGGGCTCAGAGGCCAGGTAGCAGTGGCCTGCCTGGGAGGTAAGAAGTCAGCCTTTGCCACAAACCTGACAGTGGGGGATGGTCAAAGCATCCAGGACTAGCCAGGCCCCTGGATTCTGGATGATGGTCCAGCCTGGAGCGAGGTGGTCGGGGCAGAACTTGAACTACATTTTATGGCACTTGTTTTCTGGACAAAGTAGGAGGTCAGGTTGCTGTGGCCAGGAACCATGGGGTTATAGGCTAAAGAGAAGGTTCTGAGGTTGAAATGTGACTTGAGAAAGGTCATGTCTCAGTGTGGGAGTTGCTAGACTCTACTGTAAGAGACCAGTATTAAACCATTGATTGTCAGCTGGTTATAGCCTTAAATTGAATGAAAAATCTGTCAGCCACGTGGTTAAGATCAACTTAACTCCCAAATAACCGTGTGACCTGGGTGAGGGGCCCACACTCTGCAGGCCCCAGTGTTGCCATGGGTACAGCGGGGCTGGTCCTGGAACCTCCCCGGTAAGGACACTGAGAGAAGCAGTGAGTTAACCCGGGACAGGAAGTTAGGCCAGTACCTGACACATAGATGCCCATTGGTCACCTGTGGAGCCCAGGGGCAAAGCAGGGCATACCCCACTTGGAGAAAGACCTCGAGCTGCTCAGTTCCTTATGTGAATATTTTTATTGTGCAACAGCATGAACAATAAGGAGGAAAAACAAAAATCAAGGAGAAATGAATGAAAATAGAAATCAAATCAAATATCAAACGGAAACCAAGCCCCTGCATGAGAAGGGCAGGAGCCCCCCCCCAGGCCTGCTGTGCCCCTCACTCATGTCTCCCCACCCCGTAGTCATATCCTGGCCCTCGCCTCCTGTTTCCCCACCTTTGCTAACGATGGGGTTAACCTTACCTGATTCTGAACTTGACGTCAGGACATTACCTTGGCGGAGATGTCGCTCGGCCTGGTGTCCGTTCACGTTGTGGCTGGCTTTGTTTTGTCGGGGTATCAAATTCCCACCACGGCTCCCGCATCCACTCTGCGTGGACTGTTACAGATCTTGCAGGGTTTCCTGGTTTTGTTTCCATAACCAGTGCTGCTCTGACCATTCCAGCGGTCAGTCCCTGTGATCTGGGCACAAGCTTCTCTATGCACATGCCTGGGTTGGGCTGGCGAGGGCTGGCGAGGTCAGTCGAGTGTGCCCGGCTTCCCGGGCTCCTGACAAGTGTCCTCTGAAGGACGCCATGTGGGCACGGTGACACAGGAGAACACCCGTTCGCCTGTGTTCTGCCGGGCACTTGGTACGGTCAGGCCTTTCCCTTTAGCCCACCTGGTAGGTGTGCCGCGGCCACCGTCACTTGGCCATTCTGTAAGTATTCCCTGAGCGTCTGCTGAGAGTCTGCCTTGGGGAGGCCTGTGTCCCCCGCAAGGGTGCCTGGCAGGGGCAGTGCAGGCCTCTGACAAGCCGCTCGCCCCTAGGCTGGCCCATCCTCCTGGCGCTGACCGCGGTCCCCGCGGTGCTGCAGGTCCTGCTGCTCCCCTTCTTCCCCGAGAGCCCCCGGTACCTGCTGATTCAGAAGAAAAACGAAGAAGCTGCCAGAAACGGTAAGGCGCGCTGGCTGGCGGTGGAGGTGGCCGCCCCGCGCCCGCTGCCCCGGGTGGCCCGACGCCTCTGCTGTCCCTCCCGCAGCCCTGCGGCGGGTGCGCGGCTGGGACGACGTGGACGAGGAGGTGGAGGAGATCCGGCGGGAGGACGAGGCGGAGCGGGCGGCGGGCTTCATCTCGGTGTGGAAGCTGTTCCGCCTCAAGTCCCTGCGCTGGCAGCTCATCTCCATCATCACCCTCATGGCCGGCCAGCAGCTGTCCGGCGTCAACGCGGTGGGTGCCACCGGGCCGGCGCGGGCGGCGGGGGCCGGGCACAAGCCACCTGCCCGCAGGTCCCTGAGGCCCGCCCGCCGTCCCCTTCCAGATCTACTACTACGCGGACCAGATCTACCTGAGCGCCGGCGTGGAGGCCACCGACGTCCAGTACGTGACAGCCGGCACCGGGGCCGTCAACGTGTTCATGACCTTATGCACTGTGAGTGTCCCCGGGAGCTGAGGCCCCATTGGCCACCAAGGACGCAGGGACATCTGGAGAGCACCCCTTCCAACGGAGGACGGAGCCGGGACCTGAGGGGCCATCATGCCCCTTGGGTCCTTGCGCCCAGCCTCTGATGTCTCCAGCTCCAGTGGAGACCCCCAAAGATGGAGGCCCAAACCCCACCACTCCAGAAGCTCCCAGTGTGTCGGGTGGCTCCGCTCCAGCTCTTACAGTGGGGACCCAGAGCTGTACCGGGCCACAACATGGCAAGAACAGAGAGAGCCCCTGACTGGGCATCATGGTGGCCCTGCAAAAGTCCATGGCTCACGGCTCTCCACCGTCTCTGGATGGGCGCCAGGCCTCTGTGCAGGCAGAATCTCTTGATTGCATCGAGGTCCCCGGCACCCAGTGGTTGGGGGGGGGGGGTCCTAAGGCCTAGGGCTGCAGGGTTAAGAGGCCCTTGAAGTAATGTCTCCTTAGAGGACTGACAGCCAGGGCCCAATGACACAGGCAGACCTCCCGCTGGGCACACAAGGGCACGTGATTATCAAGTGTGCACGTGGGTGGGTGGGCACCCATCCCTCCCAGCCTCTCGGAAGAGGGTATGCGGGATGGCAAGGCTTTCCCACAGTGGCAGCTCCAAGCAGGGGTGCGGCCAGGCCAGGAAAGCACCTGGTGGCAGCTCCAGAGCCCACTTCCTCCCTCCTCCAAACCCCCCTCCAGGTGTTCGTGGTGGAGCTCTGGGGCAGGAGGCGTCTGCTGCTCCTGGGCTTCTCCACCTGCTTCATGGCCTGCGCTGTGCTGACCGTGGCTCTGGCACTGCAGGTAAGGAAGGGGACTGAGCTGTGCTGGCCCTGATTCGTATTGAGAGGACATGTTGTAAGGACAAGGCACAAGAGTGAATTTGTTGGCCCATCAGACATCTGGGGACCTCATGTCCCCCACCAGCGACCGACAGCCCCCTCTATGCTCACTCTTCAAAGCTCATTGAAGTGGCATTGTGGAACAAGCGCCATCCCTGCACCTGGGCAGAGTGGCTAAAGTCCCCCAGGTCCCTGTCCCAACTGGTCTTTGCTTTGCCAGGTGCTAACCAGCTCTGTTTTGTCCCCACAGGACACCGTCTCCTGGATGCCCTATATCAGCATTGCCTGCATCATCATCTATGTCATAGGACATGCCGTTGGGCCCAGTATGTGCCCCAGAGATGACCCCATGGTTTCAGTGCCCTGTCCCCGCCTGCCGACTTGAGCTTCTGGCTTGAGCTCCCCCTGGAGGCCCAGGGAGAGCTCCTGTCCTTTTCCTCTTGCGCAGGGCTTGGGTGGGGCATAACTTGAGTAAAAACATCAAAGCTGTGATACAGGTGGCCAACCTGTGATCCTGACATGGGCCACTGGCTGGCTGCTCTCGCAGGATGTCACCCGTTGTGCCAGACATCCATGTGAACTCCCATTTGCCTCCTCACACTGCCACTTCAGAAGCCCCCATGTCCTGGAGATACCCCATTGTCCCTAGAGCCAGGTGCCCAGGTCACCAGCACATCCAAGAACTCAAGGGCCCTTTGTGGCTGCTCTGCCTTCAGGGGAGACAACTCCCCATGCTTCCCCCCCGCAGGTCCCATCCCTGCGCTGATCATCACTGAGATCTTCCTGCAGTCCTCCAGGCCAGCTGCCTTCATGATCGGGGGCAGTGTCCACTGGCTGTCCAACTTCACTGTGGGCTTGGTCTTCCCCTTCATTCAAGTGAGTGGGACCCGGGGCCCCAACACCCCCTCACCCCGACAGTGGAGCGAGGACTTGGTACAGCCTCATCTGCCTCTCCCCACAGGTGGGCCTTGGTGCTTACAGCTTCATCATCTTTGCCATAATATGTCTCCTCACCACCATCTACACCTTCCTGATCATCCCCGAGACCAAGTCCAAGACCTTCATCGAGATCAATCAGATCTTCGCCAATTTGAACAAGGTGTCGGGAATCCACCCAGAGAAGGAGGAGCTGAAAACCTTTCCATCGGACACTTCAAAGCAGCAGTGAAGAGGAGCCCGTGGAGCAGGTCTGCGTGGAGCCTCCTCCCAGGACTTTCCTCTGACTTCTGTTTGCCTGTGACATCCAGAAATGGAACGAGCCTGGTGTGGAACGCAGGTCTCAGGCTGACCTCCCCGCCCAGCAGGACAGTCCAGGGGCCTCCATGCTGTTCTCCCCCCGGGTCACCTCTGCCCAGCCCTGTGTCAGCACACCTGCTGGGTCAGCTGCTGTGGAGCTCTTGGTGATACAGCTTTTCTAACAAAAATAGGTACTACAGGGACAGATGGGAGGAACCCAATTTTGTCAGTGAAACTCTCTTCTGTGGCCCCACGGACCTCCTGGGGCCACCAGCACTGTGGAAAGCCAAATTCATCCTCTGATCCCACCCTTCTCCTGACTTGCAAAGAGTGGTATCAAGAATAATGACTTAGAGAAAGCTGGAGAAGGGTCCCTGGGGATATATTACCTGAGTTCAAATTGATGATCCTAAATTATATTGCTAGGGGAAATGGAATTGCTTCTGTATAGTTAATAAAACCGATCTGATAACTTTTCACCAAGAATGCACCCAATTCTCCATGAGCAGGTCAGAGCAGGAGGGCTGCTCCCTGCTCCCTGGGCTGTGCTGGATGTCAGCCCTCGAGGGGGGGTGTCTGGAGTGGACAAGGCATGCAAACCTCTTCTGCTGAAAGAACAGCAAAATGAGATGTTAGATTTAAGGTTGGGAAAGGCACCTGATCCCCAGGTTGATGGCGAATACCAAGGGGCCTAAAGGCGGGACTGCAGGAGTGGGGAACCAGGAAGAAGCAGGTGCCCCCACACCAACATGGCAGCACTGGAGACTTTTCTTAAGAGACGTGAATAATCAAGAGGCGTGTGCGAGTGTGTGTGTTGGTCTGTGCATGTGTGTAAGGAGGGTAGGTACAAAATACAGAGGGAAACTGTCCATGTGGGAAGGAAGGCATGGATGGCCTAGGGCACGATGTGACATCTCCTGGAATAAGGGTGGCAGAGGCCAGGGCTGCAGGGGACAACAGTGGGAGCCAAGAGAAACTTTTGTGGGTGTGGAATGGGGATTGCACCAGCAATGAGTCCAACAGGGAAGCACAGCGAGGCGTAGGGGAAGTACAAGGCACAGGGTCGTGGTTGAACCATCCTTGGCCTTCCACAGCAGAGCACAGAACCAGCAAAGATGGAGGCCCTGCACACAAGCAGTGGTGGGGCCCAAGCCAGGGCTCGAGGGACTGTGGCACTGTTGTGAACTCACCCTCGAGCAGCCCAGGAGGTTCCTGATCCTGCACACCTACTCCCCAGGTCCAGACCTTGGCTCTGCCCCTTACTAATTGTGCAACGCAGGCCAGTCACTTAGCTATTCTGTACTCAGCTGAAAATTGAACTGATAATAAATGTCTCTCATTATGATGGCAAAACCGACCTGGTTGTAAAATGAAATCACTAAAGCATTATGGTGAAAACTAATGCCTGGGGTGGAGCCAGTTGCCTTCCCCTCTGTCAGCCTTTCTTCGGGAGCCCTAATTAACCACGGGCCCTTACCTTTCAGACTGTAAACCACTGGCCTCTTGAAGGGTAAACACCCCTGTGCCAGGCTTCCAAGGCTAGAGACTTAACAGATGTCTGTGAAAAGAGGCATCTCATCTACTTCTGTAAGCATGCTTTCTGTTGGAGACCCTGCACAAGGCCTTCAGCCACTAGGTTAGGATTTTTTAAAATTTTTTTTTTTTAGTTGTTGATGGACCTTTATTTTATTCACTTATTTATAGGTGGTGCTGAGAATCAAACCCAGTGCCTCACACCCACGAGGCAAGCGCTGTATCACTGAGTCACAACCTCAGCCCAGGATTTTTTTTTTTTTAAAGAAGAAAAAAGCCCCAAAGATAGGATGGGTCTAAGATGATGCCAAATAACCTATAAGTGTTGTGAGAAACTGTGGATCAGGCTCAGAATTTGGAGTTTGTTCTCCTCTGGGCCCACCGGCGTAAATAAAGTGTGGAGACTTCCCCGAGTGCTGCTTCTCGACTGGTCTGTTTCCCTCAACAACGTGGCTGTCGTGAGAATTAAATGACTCCACGTGTTCACAGTGTTCAGACCTACGGCATGTATCACTCTTAGGTATTTTTAAGTACCTAAATGGGAATGAGCATTATTATATTTTTTTAATATATTAGGGATTGAACTCAGGCCCTGTAGCATGCTAGACAAGTGCTCTACCACTGGGCACCCGAGTCCTTCACAGTTTTTGAGACAGGGCCTCACTAAGTTGCTCAGGCTGGCCTCAAACATGTGATCCTCCTGTCTAAGCCTCCTGAGTGGCTGGGATTATAAACACACACACTACTGCACCCAGCAGGATGAATCTTAGGACAAATAGCCCATCAGTAAAACACCACGAGTGACCACCATCCACCCCTACTTCAGTGGAGCAGCTTCGCGGTAGGCGGCAGGTACTGGAAGCCGTCTCACCATTGGAGGGGGCGAGGGCAGAAAAGAATGCAAGGGAGTCTGGAACAATCCCCGCGGCAACAGGTCAGACTTGGGGGCTTTGGTGTGAGCTCGTGTGCAGCTTAACGTAGACAAGGAAGCTACACGTGGAAATATCTAGAGATCTGAGTATCTGCAGGGGTGAGTGAATTACGCGCCAGGAGAGAGATCTGGGAGCAGAGAAGGGAGATGGGGAATCAGAAAGGACACACAGGATGTCACCAGTGGGGGAAGCGGGTGACGGGGTGTTCCAGTGGAGGGGAGCTGAGCCTGGAAGCCGAGTCACGAGACCCGGGGCCACTCTGGCTCTGGGCTTAAGCACAAGATTATCCCAGTGTGCCTGGCAGGGAAGAGGTGGGGTCCAGCAAAGCCGGCCGTGGTCAGGCTGAAGGAAGGGGCACTTGAGGGCCAGCCAGTGAGATTTGGGAACCACTTGGCCATCAGAAGCAAGGAACCTGGTGTCCCCACAGGTCTATAATGGGGTCAATGGGGAATGGTTTGGGGTCTTGGAGGCAGGTTTTGGGAGAAGATGATACAATTTTTGGACATGCTGAGAAGAAACAGCTCATAGCATGTGTCTAAAGGGAAGCTGGCCATGCGGCCTGGAGCGCGAGAGTAGATTCTGGGGGCACCCCAGCCGTTTGCCAGCACCTACCGTGTGCCAGGCACTGTTCCGGGTTGCAGGTGCAGTGGGGCATGCCTGTAACCCCAGGGACTCCAGAGGTTGAGGCAGGAGGATGGCCAGTTGGAGGCCAGAGGGACTCTGTCTTAAAAAATAAAAAGAAGGGCTGGGGATGTGGCTCAAGCGGTAGCGCGCTCGCCTGGCATGCGTGCGGCCCGGGTTCGATCCTCAGCACCACATACAAACAATGATGTTGTGTCCGCCGAAAACCAAATACATAAATAAATAAATATTTAAAAAATAATAATAATAATAAATAAATAAAAATAAAAAGAACTGGGCATACATCTCAAGGGTAGTGCACCCCTGGGTTTAATTCCCAGTACCACTAAAAAAAGAAAAGAGAAAAGATTGAAGGCTCCTCTACAACCAAAATGAGAAAAGGACACTTTAAAAGAAAGGGATCTTGCTACCTAGGAAGGATGTGGTCACAGGTTAAATGCCAGCCCTTTACGTTGGACGGATTTTCCTTTGTGCAGCCTGAGGACACTGTGCTGCTTCCGGGGGGGGGGACATCAGGAGCAGTGGGCAGTGACTATTTCCGTTCTGGAAGGGCCTGTGGGATGCGGCATTAGTGAGACAGTCTTGCCGTCTCCACATCTCTGCTGCGCTGTCATCTGCACCAAGGTCTGTCCCTCGGTGCCTGAAGAGTGAGGATTGAGGCCGCGGAGCGCACGTCCCGCTCCCTCCTGCGCACAGGCCAGGCGGTGGTTTCTCTCCTCCACACACAGCTCCTCTTCTCCCGCTGCCATCGGCTGAGACTGCGCCTGTCCTCCCACATTCTGCTCGGCCCTGGGACACCAAGGGATGCCCACTGTCACTGACAGCGTGACCAGCAAGATAAACACAACCGGCCTCCCGAAGCTCAACCAGACCGTCCAGGGAAACCCAGCCAGGCGTCCTGCTCTTGCAGGGTCAGCTGAGACTCCCGCGGTCTGGCCAGAAATGCGGCCTCACTATGCCAAGGCCATGCATCGGCCAGTGAAGGCCGGCAGTGCTTCAAGGTGTGCTGAGTGGGCTCTTGAACAGGAAGCCCGGACACCTGCCTGACGGCACTGTTCTTTGCACATAAGAGGTTTGGGGTGGCTGGGGGCACAAAGGGATGGTGGGTCCCAGGTATCTTACATTTCTTTTCTTTTTTTGGGGGGGGGGGTGCTGGGGATTAAACTCAGGGGCACTGAACCACATCCCCAGCCCTATTTTGTATTTTATTCAGAGACAAGGTCTCACTGAGTTGCTTAGCACCTTGCTTTTGCTGAGGCTGGATTTGAACCCACAGTCCTCCTGCCTCAGCCTCCCAAGCTGCTGGGATTTTAGGCATGTGCCACCACACTGGAAAGGTACCTTACTTTTCTTAAGTTTCCTGGATAAGATGAATGGGCTTCCTCTACCATGTGATCCCACCGTGATGTGCTGCCTCGACACAGGCTCAAAAGCCACAGGGTCAACCACCATGGACTGAAATCTCCAAAGCTCTGAATCAAAATAAACCTTTCCTCTTTTTAAGATGATTATTTCAAGTGTTTTGTTGTAGTAATGGAAAACTAACACAAGTATTAAGTAAGTCAAATATAATATGTGTGTATGTGTGTGTGTATGTGTGTGTGTATATATATATATGTGTGTGTGTGTGTGTGTGTGTGTGTGTCTAGGGATTGAACTCAGTGTTTTCTACCACTGAGTTACATCCCTTGTACTCCCCACCTTTTTTTGGTACTAGGGATGGAATCCCGGGGCACTCTATCACTAAGCTACACTCCCAGCCCCCCCACCAACTTTCTTTTATTTTTTGAGACAGTGTCTTACTAAATTGCTGAGATTAGCCTTAAATTTGCAATTCTGCTCAGCTTCTCTAGGAGGTGGAATTGTAGGCCTGCCGGGTTTTTTTTGAGACAAGGCCTTGCTAAGTTGCCCAAACTGGCCTTGAACTTGGAATCCTCCTCCATGCTCAAAACTCCTCGGTTTTGTCTTACCCCAAAACGCAGAATTCGCCCCAATGCATCGGAAGAAGCCTCTGTAGAGAAACCACACAGGAGGAGCCCCGAGGTGCAGCCATGGCCTGACTTGGTTTCTGAAACTCCTCATTTCTAGAGATAACATTGTCCTCCTTTGGGCCACTTGGGAGCTTCTGGTTGGGGCTCAGCGGATGCAAAGACTGAATTCCCGCTGCTGCGTGTCACTGGCTACATCAACACATATTTTATCAACCCTCCAAGGAGAAAAGACTCCTGGGGAAAGTCATCAGGGTTCAGAGGACAAAAGTCATAAAGCCAGGCCGACCCAGAGGACAGGTGACACAGCAGGCTTGTCAGGCTCCAGTGGAGAGCAGGGCTCGGGTGTCACCTGGGAGGCAGCACACCTGTCCTCCAACCT